ACTCGGTGATATTTTAGGAATTATTTTGAAAAAGGTGACATTTTAGGAATTATTTTGAAAAAGGTGATATTCTATGAATTATTTTGAAAAAGTGACATTTGGGGAATTATTTTGAAAAATGTGACATTTTGGGAATTATTTTGAAAAAATGTGACATTTTGAGAATTTTTTAATGTGGACTATTGAACCCCTCTGACCATAACTTTGACCAGCTTTAAACGGTCATTAAACGACTTTTTGATTTTGTTCGAGTATACCTATTCTGATATTTTTCGACGTACCGAATCCGTTTTCGAAGTCCGTTTTTCCAAATTCAAACCCGAAGGCCTCCAAATCATCAGTCAAACCTGTTGACTTTGATTTTGACCAAGGATTTGAATTTTTGAAAAGTCATACTTTATGTTTTTTGGCGTCCTAATTTCGATTCCGCAATCCGTTTGGTCAAATTCAGACTCGAAATCCTCCAAATTGATAGTCAAACCCAGAAAATGCTTATATACTTAAGAATTTTAGCTTTAATCAATTAAGTAAGACTTGGGGTTGATAAATTATTATTGTTTGAAGGTACAAGAGACTCTTCGGATCGTTCGACAGCTTGACCCATCTCCTCTAGATCAGTTAAACCGCGTGTGCCAATATTCACCCGTAAGACCCGTAAATTTTATGATTTCAGAAATTAATTTTATTACCCATTAGTAATAGAGTGTTATTATGGATTAGGTTCGAAAACAATAGCAGAGCGTGGCGAGGCCAGCAATCACTAGATCTACTATTTGAACCTATTGTCGAGGTGTGTTCCCTGTGTACTACTTGATTGTTTTATATGTTTTAAAATATGGTACATTGAAAGCTATGGTTTAATGTTTTATTAATCCACCTATTTATTGGTGATGGTTTATGGAATATGACTGATATATGATTGGTTTTCATTGGTATATGATAATATTGATTATGAAATTATGAAAATTATGCTTACTACATAAATAGTATTTTTAAAATACTGATTTTAGGTTGGATTGCATTACGGAGGTACAGCTTTGATCACGCTGGTAAACCTTATGGACCTAATGTGACTCTTGGGTAGGCCCACGGGCCTCAAGATGCTTCATTAGGTTGACCCCCTTTGTTGTGTGCTTGGGGTAAGCCCTACAGACTTACGGACTTAAGGATACAGGCTTCAAAGCCTATCTTTAGGTTGGCTTCCTTTCTGCTGTGTGCTTAAGGTAAGCCCTATGGACGCAGTTCTGGGGAATTGCGGATGGTGTACAGGAGAAGGGTTTTAAATTACGAGTTTTAAAAGTTAAACTTCATTATGGTTTGATGATGAATTTCTAAACTATTACTCAATTACTGTACCTACTATGATTTTATTGTACTATTGGGACACACTGAGCCTAGCTCATTTTTCGAAAATATTTTCCCTTTTCAGATATTGTTGGTTAGATACTCGGATCAAGCACTTTTTGCCGTTGGCTGAATTTGCTTACAATAACAGTTATCAGACCAGCATTCGTATGGCACCCTACGAAGCACTCTATGGGAGAAGATGTTACACCCCGATTTGTTGGACTGAGTTGCGTGAAAGGAAGACGTTGGGACCTGAGTTAGTACGTGAGATGGAGGACACAGTCAAATTGATTTGTGACCGTCTGAAAGAGGCATTTGATAGACAGAAGTCTTATGCAGATCAAAGGAGGAAATATATTTAGTTTGAAGTTGGAGATCAGGTCTTTTTAAAAGTATCACCCTGGAAGAAAGTATTGAGATTCGGGCGTAAGAGTAAATTGAGTCCAAGATTTATTTTACCATTTCGTATTTTGAAGAGGGTAGGACCTGTTGCATATCAGGTTAAGTTGCCTCCTGAGCTCAGTCGTATTCATGATGTTTTTCAGGTATCAATGTTGACGCGATACCGTCCAGATCTGGGTCACATCATTCAGGTTGAAGAGGTAGAGCTGAGACCTGATTTGTCATATGAGGAGGAGCCCGTTCAAATCTTAGAAAGAGATGAGAGAGTTCTTCGGAATAGGTGTATTCCAATGGTAAAAGTTCAATGGAGTAACCGATGCCCCTCTGAAGCTACTTGGGAGACATTGAAGTCAATGGAGGCTCTGTTTCCTCAACTATTCTCATAAGGTAAATTTCGAGGACAAAATTTCTTGTAGAGGGGGAGAATTGTAATAACCCAAAAAATATATATTTAAATCGGTGTAATTTGGTGACTAAATTAAAAGTTTTCAAAACTTATAGGCCATTTTAGAAGTTGGAAAAAAATTCAATGACCAAGCCCTGCATTATACCTTTGAGTGTCGACAGGCTTTTCTTTTAAAGAAAATGAATTGGTTTCTGCGTGAAAACACAGAAAACCAATTCCTAAAATTTCCTTTCCAACAACCTTCTTTAAAGTCTGATTTTGACGCCGTCCGAGCTCCAATCGTAAAATTAAAACCACTGTCGTGTTCATCTTTGACCCGTGATTAAAACCCATTATACCAATTATAGCGAAATGCTGCCAAATGACGTGAATTTCGAGTCAAAGTCTCAACGTTTTTTTAGCACCACCGCCGAGTAAATCTTAAATTCATCTCTGATCATTGATCAGTTTTCGACACCTCCCGCACCATCGTGTTCCTTGTATCATTCCGAGTCCGGCGATGTCCTCCTTGTCTCCGTAGGCGGCGGCGCGTAAGGGAGATAAAGCGGTCAAAGTTCCGATCGTGTTGAAATCGAGCTCTTCACCGTTCAAAAATTTGAACTGAGGTTGGTAAGTGACTCAAAATCACTTAAAATAATTTTTAGAATTTTTTTCAGGAATTTTTAGAGTCCATAAGAGCCTTCACGCGCCGCCCCTACGAGTGGGGGAGTTAAGAACTGATGGGTGTTGTTGTTTGACCGGTTTGACCGGTCTGAACCGGATTGAACCGGTCTGACCGGTCCCACCCAGTTCGGACTGACCCGACCCAGTGACATTTTTAGAATTATTTTGAAAAATGTGACATTTTGGGAATTTTCGAATGTGGACTATTGAACCCCTTTGACCATAACTTTGACCGGCTTTAAACGACCATTAAACGACTTTTGATTTTGTTCGAGTATACCTATTCTAACATTTTTTGACGTGTCGAATCTGTTTTCGAGGTCCGTTTTTCCAAATTCGAACCCGAAGGCCTCCAAATCATCAGTAAAACCCGTTGACTTTGATTTTGACCGAGGATTTGAATTTTCGAAAAGTCATACTTTATGTTTTTCGACGTCCTGATTTCGATTCCGCAATCCGTTTGGTCAAATTCAGACTCGAAATCCTCCAAATTGATAGTCAAACTCGGAAAATGCTTATATACTTAAGAATTTTAGCTTTGATCAATTAAGTAAGACTGGGGGTTGATAAATTATTATTGTTTGAAGGTACAAGAGACTCTCTGGATCGTTTGACAACTCGACCCAGCTCCTCTAGATCAGTTAAGCCACGTGTGCCAGTATTCACCCGTAAGACTCGTAAATTTTATGATTTCAGAAATTAATTTTGTTACCCATTAGTAATATAGTGTTATTATGGATTAGGTTCGAAAACAGTAACGGAGTGTGGCGAGGCCAGCAATTACTAGATGTACTATTTGAACCTATTGTCGAGGTGTGTTCCCTGTGTACTACTTGATTATTTTATATGTTTTGAAATATGGTACATTGAAAGCTATGGTTTAATGTTTTATTAATCCACCTATTTACTGGTGATAGTTTATGGAATATGACTGATATATGATTGGTTTTCATTGGTATATGATAATATTGATTATAAAATTATGGAAATTATGCTTATTGCATAAATAGTATTTTTGAAATACTGATTTTGGGTTGGATTGCATTACGGAGGTACATCTTTGATCACGCTGGTAAACCTTATGGACCTAATGTGACTCTTGGGTAGGCCCACGAGCCTCAAGATGCTTCATTAGATTGGGCCCCTTTGCTGTGTGCTTAGGGTAAGCCCTACGAACTTACGGACTTAAGGATACAGGCCTCAAAGCCTATCTTTAGATTGACTTCCTTTCTGCTGTGTGCTTAAGGTAAGCCCTATAGACGCAGTTCTGGGGAATTGCGGATGGTGTACAGGAGAAGGGTTTTAAATTACGAGTTTCAAAAGTTAAACTTCATTATGGTTTGACGATGAATTTCTGAACTATTACTCAATTATTGTACCTACTATGATTTTATTGTACTATTGGGACACACTGAGCCTAGCTCACTTTTCGAAAATATTTTCCCCTTTCAGATACTGTTGGTTAGATACTCGGATCAAGCACTTAGAGGATCAACATATCTCTTGAAGTATATCGTATTGTAATGTTTTATCTTTTAAGTTGACTCTATTATGGTAACATGGGCCTTATTTTTAAAGTATTGGATTTAATAATGATTACTATTTTGCTATTAATATTCGATTTATCATGATTTTTATTTTAAGATATGTTTTAAATTAATTTATTACTTTTTGGTATTATATTTATGAGTTGTGTTTTTATAGTATAATTTATTATAATTTCATGTCATTTATAATGTGATTTTACATTGATTGAATAACGGTTTCGGGAAAATGTATTTAAGAATCATGAATGTGATCCACTAGACTTAGTCGAAACGCATAAGCCGAGTTTAGGGGGTTACACTAAATTTTCGTTCCAACCCCCTCCACCAAGCTTCTTTTCACCACGCATATAGAGTGGTCCACAACAGTAACCGACGTCGTTCTTCTCGGCACATCACCAACAACCAACATATCAAGAGTCTCAGTTTATATAGGACTCAAGCTAAAAATAGGTTTTCTTTTGCATTATAAATAAAACGTGTAAACCCAAAGCAAACGCGGGGGAACCATTGTAATTTAAAAAAAACAGAGAAATAAAACATCTTTTTCATTCATTCTTTCTGCATTTGATGCATGCATTTTTTTATTAAAAGAGTGATTTGCAAAAATAAAGATAGGAAGAACTCACAATACGGAGATGGGCCAAGCTCAAAGTGAGGTATCGGCGACTGATGCCATTAACGATCAAGCTCGAACCCACTCTCCCTCTTCCATGGATTCCATTCTCGCAGAAGCAGCGGCATATGGAAATGATGAGAATCAGTCTCTTAAAGCGCAGGCGCAGAAAACATTAGACTGCCCTTGTGTTGCTGAGCTGCGGGATTGCGGAGCTCAGTTCACCGAGGCTTTCCTTTGTCTTCTCAAAAGCACAGCTGAGGAAAAGGATTCGGACTGCGTGCATCCGTTCGTTGCCTTGAAAACATGTATCAAAGGTACTTGGAGCATCGGGCCTATATAACGGGTAGTTCTGAGGTGCGGCGCCTAAAAAACGGCTAATATACGGCGTGACCGGTTAAACAAGTGACCGGTTATGTTATATTATTTAACCGGAAATATTATAAAGTACAATAACATACTAGGTAGCGCTTATATAATGTAATAGGTAGCGCTTATATTGACCTATTTTATAAGTAAACCGGTATATTTATACCGATAGCATTGCAAATTTACCTATTACATTATAATATGTTGAAAGTGTCTATACATTTTTATAAAAAAAGATCGATACTTTTTTTAAAGTTATGTAATTTATGTTTCAATTTTTTAATAGTGTTTCATGTTTTCCACCTACAATATTAATTTAATAATTTCATTTGCACAAAAAATTATTTGATTGTTTTGATATTTTATAAAATAATATTTAGAATTTAAATTTAACAATATTAACCCATGATAATAATAAATATGTAATATATATGTTTATTGTTTTTAATTTAATAATAATATATATCGTAACGTAAAAATAAATCATTAGACGCCTATAATTACTAAATTAATATCTTAAAACTCACTCAAAAGATAACCTTAAATTAATGTTTTCCACAATGAAAAAAGTATGAACACTTTTATAAAAAGGATAGATACTTTACAATATAAGCACTACCTATTACATTATATAAACGCTACATATTACATTATATAAGCGCTACCTATTACATCATATTTTTACCTATTATATTGAAAGTGTCTATACTTTTTATAAAAAGGATCGATACTTTTTTTAAAGTTATGTAATTTATGTTTTAATTTTTTTTAATAGTGTTTCATGTTTTCCACCTACAATATTAATTTAATAATTTCATTTGCACAAAACATTATTTGATTGTTTTGATATTTTATAAAATAATATTTAGAATTTAAATTTAACAATATTAACCAAAGATAATAATAAATATGTAATATATATGTTTATTGTTTTTAATTTAATAATAATATATACCGTAACGTAAAAAATAAATCATTAGACGCATATAATTACTAAATTAATATCTTAAAACTCACTCAAAAGATAACCTTAAATTAATGTTTTCCACAGTGAAAAAAGTATGGACACTTTTATAAAAAGGATAGATACTTTACAATATAAGCACTACCTATTACATTATATAAACGCTACCTATTACATTATATAAGCGCTACCTATTACATCATATTTTTACCTATTATATTGAAAGTGTCTATACTTTTTATAAAAATGATCAATACTTTTTTTAAAGTTATGTAATTTATGTTTCAATTTTTTTTAATAGTGTTTCATGTTTTCCACCTACAATATTAATTTAATAATTTCATTTGCACAAAAAATTATTTGATTGTTTTGATATTTTATAAAATAATATTTAGAATTTAAATTTAACAATATTAACCCAAGATAATAATAAATATGTAATATATATGTTTATTTTTTTTAATTTAATAATAATATATATCGTAACGTAAAAATAAATCATTAGACGCCTATAATTACTAAATTAATATCTTAAAACTCACTCAAAAGATAACCTTAAATTAATGTTTTCCACAGTGAAAAAAGTATGAACACTTTTATAAAAAGTATAGATACTTTACAATATAAGCACTACCTATTACATTATATAAACGTTACCTATTACATTATATAAGGGCTACCTATTACATCATATTTTTACCTATTATATTGAAAGTGTCTATACTTTTTATAAAACGGATCGATACTTTTTTTAAAGTTATGTAATTTATGTTTCAATTTTTTTTAATAGTATTTCATGTTTTCTACCTACAATATTAATTTAATAATTTCATTTGCACAAAAAATTATTTGATTATTTTGATATTTTATAAAATAATATTTAGAATTTAAATTTAACAATATTAACCAAAGATAATAATAAATATGTAATATATATGTTTATTGTTTTTAATTTAATAATAATATATACCGTAACGTAAAAAATAAATCATTAGACGCCTATAATTACTAAATTAATATCTTAAAACTCACTCAAAAGATAACCTTAAATTAATGTTTTCCACAGTGAAAAAAGTATGGACACTTTTATAAAAAGGATAGATACTTTACAATATAAGCACTACCTATTACATTATATAAACGCTACCTATTACATTATATAAGCGCTACCTATTACATCATATTTTTACCTATTATATTGAAAGTGTCTATACTTTTTATAAAACGAATCGATACTTTTTTTAAAGTTATGTAATTTATGTTTCAATTTTTTTTAATAGTGTTTCATGTTTTCCACCTACAATATTAATTTAATAATTTCATTTACACAAAAAATTATTTGATTGTTTTGATATTTTATAAAATATTATTTAGTATTTAAATTTAACAATATTAACCAAAGATAATAATAAATATGTAATATATATGTTTATTGTTTTTAATTTAATAATAATATATACCGTAACGTAAAAAATAAATCATTAGACGCCTATAATTACTAAATTAATATCTTAAAACTCACTCAAAAGATAACCTTAAATTAATGTTTTCCACAGTGAAAAAAGTATGGACACTTTTATAAAAAGGATAGATACTTTACAATATAAGCACTACCTATTACATTATATAAACGCTACCTATTACATTATATAAGCGCTACCTATTACATCATATTTTTACCTATTATATTGAAAGTGTCTATACTTTTTATAAAAATGATCGATACTTTTTTTAAAGTTATGTAATTTATGTTTCAATTTTTTTTATAGTGTTTCATGTTTTCCACCTACAATATTAATTTAATAATTTTATTTGCACAAAAAATTATTTGATTGTTTTGATATTTTATAAAATATTATTTAGTATTTAAATTTAACAATATTAACCAAAGATAATAATAAATATGTAATATATATGTTTATTGTTTTTAATTTAATAATAATATATACCGTAACGTAAAAAAATAAATCATTAGACGCCTATAATTACTAAATTAATATCTTAAAACTCACTCAAAAGATGTACATACCTAAATATGTAGTTATTGTACATACATAAATTTAATGATAATATATACTTGTAGTTATTGTACATACAATTACTGCGAATTTAATGTTGTACCCACCCTTTAACTACCACTACCAATACCACATCCTATTGAAAGCAGCACGACTGAAACGTGTTCAAAATGAACCTTTGCTTACATCTCCATCAACTCCTAGACCACTGAACTTGCACAACAAAATTTTTGCCATGGATAATACTGATGTAGACAATGTTAAGCCAACCGAGGAATGCCATGAAGTACATAATGTTGATGAATCTGACAGATTGGTTTGTCAGCTCTTCTGTTCACGTGATCAAGGTTGGTACTTTTACAAGGGATTCGTACGGGAACATGGGTTTAGTGCACGTAAGGGAACAACACGGCTTGACGTGGAAGGGAATGTGAAGACACAAGATTTTTGTTGTTCCAAAGAAGGGTTTCGAGTATCAAAAGTCAATACTGTTGATCGTCAACGTGCTCATACGCCAGTCACAAGAACAGGGTGTAAGGCTAGAGTCGTAGTTACAGCAACAAATACAAATGATCAGTGGGTTATAAGTAAGTCTGATCAGAAACATAATCATGCATTGTGCACACCTGCTATGACACCATTTATGCGTTCTAATAGAGCTGTAAGTAAGGCTGATATCGATGAGGCAACAACATTGAAAGAGGTCGGTGTTGGCACGTCAGAAGTAATGAACTATTTAACGCAGCAGGCAGGGGGCTATCATAATGTTGGATTTACACATAAAGACCTCTACAATGCACTTCAAAGAGGTAAAGCAAAGGAAATCGTCGATGGGGATGTGAATGCGCTTATTGCCTACTTTGATTATAAGAAACATGATGATCCCGGGTTTTTTATGACATACTCGATAGACGAATCGGAGGCATTGTATAATCTTATTTGGTCAGATTCTACATCGAGATCGGATTACACATGCTTCGGTGATGTAATTGCGTTCGACACAACGTACAAAGATAATTTGTATGGTCGACCAATTATGCCTATTGTTGGTGTCAATCATCACAATAACACAATTGTGTTTGCCACTGCCATAATCGCTGACGAGACATCTCAATCTTTCGAGTGGGTGCTACAGAATTTTTTAGAAGCCATGATGAATAAATCACCTATTTTCGTTGTAACCGATGGGGATAGGGCAATGCAGAGGGCTATCAAATCTGTTATCCCTTATGCTAAGCACAGATTATGTTCTTGGCATCTTTCTCGCAATGCACAAGCTAACATTGGTGACCCAAAGTTTAAAGCAGCATTCTCAAAATGCATGGCTTCCTGGTGGACAACCAAGGAATTTGATATTCAATGGCGTTCGGTTGTTTCAGAATTCAACGTCCAAAAGCATCCATGGGTGATTGAGAAGGGAAATACACGACACTTATGGGCACAAGAATATCTAACCGGTCATTTCTTTGCCAATATTCGCTCAACACAAAGGTGTGAGTCTATGAATGCTTCACTAGCTATTGCACTGAAACACAAGAAGACATATTTAGATGTTGTTCGTGCAATTGAAGATTGAATTAGTAGAATGCGTCTGAACGAGTTGAAAGCGGATTACTTAAGTTCCCATACGAAGCCCTTCCAGATCACAAAATTGGTCGTCCTTGAAAGCCATGCCGCTGCGATTTTTACCCGCGAATCTTTTCGTGTGTTCCAAGATGAACTTATACGGGAGACATTGTACCGGATTGAGGCAGAGATTAAGTCCTTATCAGATGAATGTCAACATTATATTTTGTCAAAGTACGCAGAAAAAAATAGGAAATTTGAAATTAGTTTTGATTCTCGTACGAAAACTCTAATTTGCTCCTGCAAAAAAATCGAGACCGTTGGACTTCCGTGTCGCCATCAACTTCACATTTTGAAGCAATTGGACTACACATATTTGCCCGGGACTTTGATTCAAAGTAGGTGGACTAATGATGCGAAGGCTTC